CGCTCTGGCTGCGGCAGGGTTTGTGTTGTCCAAACCTGTCAACTTGGAGAGTGTAGTGCCTAAGAAACAGCGGTTGCCTCCCGTCATCTGTAAGAGCTGAGGTCTAGAGAGTTGGTGGGCCATAGAGCTTGCAGGTTATGATTACATTCTTAATAAACTAAGACCTCTTTTTTGCCTTGCATAAAGGTTTAAAAATTATTATTACTATTTTTCAGAATATTTTTAAAAATTATAATGAATATTTGACTGAGTTTTTTCTGGACCAAAATAACCTGAGAAGAAGTTGGGGTTGTTGGTTAATGAAAAGCTCAATGAGCCAACAGCATGCGCTTGCAGCCCAGAAAGCCAACCATCAAAAGAAGAGTGACCAGCGGGTCACGGGAGGTGATTCTCTCCATCTACTCTGGTGAGACCGCACCTGGAGTGCTGTGTTTAGCTCTAAGGCCCCAACATAGGAAGGACATGGACTTGTTGGAGAGTTGAAGGCCACAAAGATGACTGGGGGACTGGAGCACCTGTCCTGTGAGGCCAGGCTGAGAGAGTTGGGGTTGTTCAGCCTGGAGAAGAGAAGGCTCTGGGGTGATCTCATAGCAGCCTTCCAGTACCTGATGGGGGTCTACAAGAAAGGTGGAGATCTCTCTTGTAGTGAAGGCACAGATTTCTGCAGATTGGTACTGCAGGTGCCAATGTCCTTGCTTTTTGGAAGGGCATGTAGTGATAAAACAAGGGGTGATGGTTTTAAACTGGAAGAGGGTAGATTAAGATTTTGATATTATGAAGAAGTTCTTTACTGTGAGGGCGGTGAGACACTGGCACAGGTTGCCCAGGGAAGCAACTGATATTAATGGTTTAAAAAACTCCTTTTTTTTAAAGTATGCCAGTAATGTTCTACTGGCATTTTTATTCATAAGCCATTGCAATGATGATTTTACAACAGCACCTCCATTAATATTGGAGCTGATGAGATTGTAAAGTGTTGGTGTTCGTAGCATAGATTCTTTACAATGCGATTCTGGATTTAGAATAAATAACTTTTTTTTAATCTAAGGACATCGAAGTCTAGTGCTTCAAAATGAGAATTTGTAGTACAAGACTTCTGCAATTCAAATGTCTTTTTTATTGAGAGGCAAGACTGAAAGATATTGAATGTTTGATTCTGGTTTAATTCCGTTTACCAAAGTAACAGCAGCTTTCACATCTTACAAGAGCATTTAATTTCTTAAAGTCTTAAAATCACGTGGTTTTGTACTCAAAATGATCTTAAAAATAACATAAATTATACACATTTCAGCTTTTTAGCAATTCATAAAAAACCAATCATTATTTCAGGTCAAAGTGGAATGTAAATCATTATTTTTTTGAACCATAATTCTCGTGTTACTTTTACTAAGCGGGGTTATTTCAAACTTAAGAACTTAAACGACTTTCTGGGAACATAGACCAAAAAAAAATTGGAAAAACCAGTATATATTCTTTAGATTTTTTGGGATTTTATAATGTTTAAAAAATTGCTGCCCCAGTGAAATATTTTTGTATGCTGAGTCTAAGCTTTCCATCAAAACATTTTGTTCCGTCCAGTGTGAATCACTTCTTTGAGACTAAGGGATCCACAAATAAAATTATCCAGAGAAAAGATTCAGATCCTGACGGGGGTTGCACTCTTTTAACCTCGTGTATTGTTAGGAGCTCAGACTGAAAGCATTGGTTGGCAGGTGGATGTCGAAGTAGTTTTGACAGTGGCAGCTGGATGTGCTGCTCTGGTGTCATTAGGGAGCAGACGTGGATTAAATCAGTTTTGTTGCCCTCTCAGAGGGTGACTTGGTGTTTCGCTGTAACAGCACGTGGTGAGACCGCTCGCTTGGGCAGCTCCTCCATTGAAATCCCCGCTGCGACTGCGGCTGAGCGCGATGCGCTTCATTTAAACGTACGTGTCCTGCAGGGGTGCTTTTTGTGCCTGTATTGTTCTTAAAGTTCCATCAAATATTTTTCATTCTGGCCGCTGCTCAGACGGGTGCCTAACTCTGTGCAGACCCGTTTGCTCAAGGGGGAAAAAAGTTCTTGGAAACATTTTCAAGCACCCCACTCCCTCTCCTTCATGTCTGTATTTTGTATTGAACTCCCACTGATGTAACATGAAGACCTGAATACTTCTGTAGTGTGAGGCAAAGCTCCTTGCAGTTGGTGAGGTGATCCCTTCTGCACTGATGGGCCTTGGGACGGTGTCTCAAGCCTCTGTTGCACGTGGGCCCTGCCTGAAGGGTTTGCTGGGACGGGATCCCCCTTGTGGGACGGGATCTCTTGTAGCATGGGATCCCTCTTGTAGGACAGGATCTCTCTTGTGGCATGGGATCTTTCCTGTAGCGGAGGCACAGATTTCTGCAGCTTGGTCCTGCAGGTGCCAATGTCCTGCTGCTCTGCGCCAATGCTGCTCGGTGTCAGTGCGTTGTGGCTGCTGTCCATGAATCTTTGAAATAACTTTAGGTTTTGAAAATAAGAATCTAGCTTTAATAGTGTGAGTGTATTTCTGGCTCTGTGCCTTTATAAAGATGTGTGTTTATTTTGTAAGAGAATAAAGACAGGGAACTGACAGATCTGTTGCTGTAGAAAGGCTGATGAGAGGGTAGCAGTCCTGTAAGTTTGCCAGCAGTAAGCTTACAAGTGAGATTTAGAACAGCATAACAAGTGGTGGCTTATGGATTTCTCTCTAATTAGCTGAGCAGTTGCTTCATAGGTTGGGTTTTTTTCCTTCTTTCACCCTTCATGAGAAAACGAAGCTTTTCCATTTAAATAAGATACTTTTATCTGTCGGTTTTCTTCATGGCAAAGGTGATGCTGACTGACTGGGTACTGGTGTGCTCATCTTTCACAGTTGAGCTGAGGTTCTGTTGCAGAGTATTTGTCATAGCGCACTCACTTCTTGAGTGCCATGAGTTTTAATTATCACCTGAATCACACTGATTGGTAAAAATAATGCTGCAGAGATAATTGGAGGGCTCCGATGCGAGCTGTAATCAGCAATCTCAATAAAACCACTTAGATTAAAATGCAGTTTGAATTAGAGTACGTGCGGACAATGTGTGTTTTACAAATTACAGGGTAGAGGCCAAGTGTTTTTGAGGGGTGTGAGGGAGAAGAGAACAAGCACATTCTGATATTCAAAACCAATTAGCTCTGCTCAGCTAATTTAAATTGAGATTAAAACTTCTGAATACAAGAGCTGTTCCAGTACAGTCTGGAATCCAGTAAATTCACAGCGTGTGTCTGACAGAATTGAAATCCGTAGTCAAATATAGTTTGATTTTGTAGCAAAGGAATAGTTGCCATCAAAATAATCGTCCTTCATTTGAGTCTGTGAGATTTGTCACTTGAAGCTCATGATATATTAATTTTAAAACTAAAAGTTGTCAGCGACAAATAACCTTGCAAGTATTAAACATCGTTCTGCATTTCAGAGAGACCTGCACTTGTTGGTTCTCTCTTTTGGGATTAGTGCACTCCATTATTTGTAAGTGGAGAAACTGCACAAAGATGAATAAACGCATGTAAATATGGTCATAGGCTCTCACATACTGCACAGCCCTGAAGTAATGATATTTTCTGACTATAGATGTTAGACTTGCCCATAAAGAGCTGAGGCACTTCCAGAGCTCGTGTTCATAAGAGTCTCATTTCTGCTGGATGTTTTGATGAGTTGCAAAACATTTTAGAGAGCTGACTCTCAGCATGTAGGGCATGTAACATGAATGTTTGTCCAGCTGAAACCCCTGTATTTTGTGAAGATGACTTTTTATTTGGTAAATTTTGGTCTACTCTACATTAAAAGCATCTGTATGAATGTCTCTTCCAGCTTGGTTTTCATGAAGTCTGTCATTGTTGGGATGAAGTGTGTTGAATGGACCAAATTCCGTTCCAAATTTGCAAATCTTGGATATTCCGAGTTAAGAAATCACTTACTTGGAACCTAAGTCACCTTTCTCACTGGATATGTTATGTTGGAAAAGTGTCCATCATTTGCTATTAAAATAAAATAGAATTAAATGCAATTTCTGTAGGCTGATGTTGAATTTTAAGACCTTCCACTGGTAGAGTCAATGCCTGGACAACCACACGTGTGAACTTTAGTGCCTGGATGAGCTATGGACTTGTCTGCCCAACACCTTCATGTTTTCAGTGAGATGTAGAATGAAGGCTATTGAACAGATTTCTATGAGGCAATCACTGCCCGAAGAGGTGGATGGGGTCACCATGTTAAGGTAGTTCTAAATGGTTTATTTGTATAAGCACAGAGTGGGCAGTTGTAGCTTTGTTTTCTAAATTCAGCAGGCAAAATAACCAAGATCCTTTTATGACGTGCATTGTGTTCAACTTTACTTTCTTTGCAATATTAGGTCCGGGTGATGGTGGATTTATGTAACAGCACGAAAGGGATATGTTTAACAGGTACGTTTACAGCCTTGAGCATTACATCTGCTGTACTCCGGGAATGCAGAATTACAGTGAGGTCAATGACTAAGTCAAAGAACTATTTACTCTGTCAGAATTTACAGATCAATTGGGTTATTTATTGATAAAAAGATAATAGGTGCTACTTTGGAATTCATCTATACCTGCTTATTGTAAGTGCTGGAAATTAAGGAGCTCAGTTGATGTTACTTGGTCTTATTTCTATCCCATGTAATTTTCATAAGTAAATTTTATAGACTTGGGTGTTTAGATTTCTAGTTGAGGTTTTACTCTTGGTATTTTTGTGTATGTCTCCATGTGGGATGAACACAGAGAGTGTAGAAACTTGCTTCCATTGCTGTAACGCTGTGGAGCAGTGGGACTTGAACGAACGTGTTTGCCTCCCCTTGTACCGCAGTAACGGGACGTTGGGTTTCCCGTGTTACTGGCGAGGAGCTGGGACAAGAGAGAACATGAGAAGTTTCTATGTGATCTGGAGAAGAGAATGTCAGGTAGTAGCTGGTTTAAGGGCTACAGTCCAGCTTTGAAGTCTGTAACAGATTGAGTCGTGTTCTGTTTTGAAGTGAGAAGATTAGAAATAAGCCACTTTTTATGTTAAAAAACCCACTTGCTATCTGGTTTGTGTTTTCAAATGGCCTTAAGGTCTATTTGGGACAACCGATTTTGACATAAATGAGAATTACCATGGTGGGCACAGATGTTGAACACTGCTGCTGCAGGTGTAGATCAGGTCTGACTATGACAGACAACCCCAATGTTTCTTTGGGCTCCAGAGGTCTGCATTCATGCCACTTGGTGCCCTCTGCACCTTTTTCTTTCCTGACACCATTAAATTTTGTCTCCAGTATTGGCTTTCTCTGCTGTAGGCCTCGTGACATTTGCTACTTTTCGAGCACCTTTCTTATGGATCTTGTGCTTTATTCGAGGGTACTCGAGGTTCCCAGGTTTTGAGATAGGGCGGTAATTGAACACAGTAATGGACCTCACATTGTCGTGTGGAAAAAAACGATAATTTACCATAGAGTTGGCAGAAAGATGTTAGGTGATGTTAAGGCTTGTACTGATTCAAAAGGATAATTGCTGTAATGTCATTATAAAATGGTTTTCACTTATAAGGATTTCTAATTAATGCTGAAAACTCTCATCTTTAGGGAAATGTAGTAATTACTGTTATTTTCTGTTGTAGAGAGTTTTGTTGAAACAAGGCAATACTTTGGCTGGATGAAAATGTTCACAGATCTAACTTGGTTCTTTAACTACTGCCTTCCTTTGTATTTTCCTAACCCGCTTTTCCTGTGGGTTTTTTTGTGTGTGTGGTTTATTTTTTGTTATTTTTTAGAACGTGTGTTGGTGATCAAGTAAGATAAATCTTGTTACAGGAACATTTTCTGCTTTACTCTTGCCTGTTACGCTTTTTTTTCTTAGTAAGGCCCTATACTTGAACTGAGTCAGAGAGAGTGAGATGGATTTTATTGTATTAGAATAAATAACTGAAGTAAGTCCAGTTTCTAATACACCAACCAGGTTCTGTGGGGAGCTCGGTCCAGTTTGGAGAACAATTGCATGTGAAAAGCCTGATTGCGTTTGAGATGTAGTTTATAGGAATGTTTAAATAGCCTGAATCCTGAACTGCAGTGAAGTATCTGTAAACCAGAGAGAAGCGTAGCATGTATTTTTAATGTGTATTTTCAACAGGGTTTTAGTTGTGACATTCATCAGTATTGTACAGCTGTTCTTCTGCTCCAACAGGATCTTGCAGGACACTCATATCAAGGAAGTGGGATGATAGGTGCCTTGCACCCATGGCGCTGTAAAGCCCCTGGCAGTGAGGTTGCACTGTAGACCTGGTTGGTCTGAGTTTCTGCCAATGCTCAAATATTTATTCATGTTACAAAGCAGTTAAATCCATAGGTGTCAGTTGTGAAATCTGAGGGGCTTTCCCCCCGTTTTACTGTTCATTTCCATTGGGAATTGCCTTTTGTTTTCTTGCTGGGTTAAACTCACCATTTCTTCTCTCTCGTTCTCGTTGCAGGGCCCCCAGGTCCCCCAGGTAAGATAATGTGACAACTCCAGTAACGTTTTTGGGGTGATTGAAACGGCTGCTGGTACAAAATAATGTAGAAATGCATTTCTTTCTTCCTTTGCTGATTAGGATGAGGGGGGATTGAATGACTGCCTGCCTTTGTAACTTTTGTACTTAGGTCAGCTCGTGCCCCTTCTGGGGGCTGGGGGGGATTTTAGGCATTCAGCTTGTGAAGGGAGTAGAATAGTTTCACATTTACTAAAATATATTTGATCAAAACCAGATGGAGTTAATTAAGAGTGTCTAAGTAGCATTTAGTTGAAGAGGGGTGTGTGTATATACGTATATATAACCCAAACCATCAAAAATCCAGTAAACTGATACTGTAATTTAACACTGAAAACAGCTCTTTAAAGAATCCTGGTTACTGATTCCACCCTCCCACCTCCCCCATAAGTTTTCCTCCTTCCCTATTTAATTCCCTCTTTCTGCTCTCACTCAAGTGGTTGCTAGGCTGTATGAATGGTTACTTCCATTCTTCCGTGCTGCTTTAGCTGCGGATCTGGGTAGAGTAATTCTGTCAGAGAAGAATCAGATGCTATTTGTTTGTGGGGGTTCAAATAGCGATGAGGAGAGTGATGTCTGCTGTACCAACCAGTCGTGGTTTGGCACTGCAGCATTCTGGGCAAGTAGGTAACTGCTTTTCTAGTGTTAGATTGGTCTGGCCAGTGTCATAAGCAACACGAAAGCTTATGTGGTTTGTGGGAGATGATGTAGTCCCTGTTAAATTCAGGAATAGGCTGGGTTCCCCTGTGTTTGTACTTGAATGGAGGCAAAAAAGCTGACCTGTGCTGCCCTAGTGCCAAATGTGTGCAGGGTTCAGTTCAGTCAGTTTTCGTGTGCTGAAGCCAGGGCAGACAAGCATTGCACCTTTAAGACTGGGTTCACAGGTTGGTTGTTGTGGATGGGTGTTGTGTTTTGGTTGGTCGGGTTTTTTAAATTATTTTCATTGTTTGGTTTGGTGGTGGGTGGCTGTTTGGGGTTTTGTTTTTGGTTGATTGTTATTGTTGTTTGCACTTAACACTGAAAATCCCTTTGTGGTGTTTGGTTTGTTCAGGGCCTCCTGGGCTTGATGGACTGCCCGGTTACAACGGATCAGATGGAGTCCCAGGTGCACCAGGACAAAAGGGAGAACCAGGAATAAATGGAAAAAGAGGAAAAATAGGTGTTTTTCTTTTTTGGTGGCTGTTTAAAAAAGGAAATCCTTTCTTGCTGTAGTATTCAGATGTAGTTACTTTTAGACCTTTGTACAGGGAGAAAGGTTCGAACGCTTACAAGGAAGCTGCGTATTACAGAAGCAAGGGAATACGAACTGCCACAAAAGTAGAGTGTAAGGTTTTGTCGTGTCAGTGGTACAACTACAAATACACCACTGTCTTCCTAACTGCAAAAGAAAATCACACGGGGCAAAGGCCTATGTCATTAAATATGTTATTTTACGACATGATCAAGCACAGGAAGTGGGTGGATTGATCACACCTCTACCAAGTGTAGAGGGAGGGTCACAGCAGCCATGTGCAAACATTGCTAGGCTGTATCTGTGCTCTGTTGGGACAGTGCAATGTGGTAAAAGGGCAATGCATGTTGTAAAGTTAGTGCGTGATTAATTGAAGAAGAAGATTACAGGAACCATGAAAATGCCCTTCATTAATGCCTTACAGATGTTAAAGAAATACATCACTTCACATCTTCTCTTAGTATTCCTACTTACCCAGAAATTCTCCAGCCAGTGTTAACGAGGCCCAGATCCATGTATTTCATGCTCAGACTTGGAGATCACAAGGCAAAGGATCTATTACTTGCACCAAATGGATCGTGCGCCTTTTCCCTTCGTATTAGGTTACAACACTGCTTTGAAATCAGAACAAGTTACAGCTCCCCAGTTAAACATGGGTGAAAAAAACAACTCGAGTGAATACATTTTGTATTATAAATATAAGTATTTATTGATGCTTAATACTGGAACAGTGTTCTTGGTACTGAAATGCTTTTTACTCCTAGGTGTGCCAGGACCAAAAGGCGATCAAGGACAGAAAGGAGAACCTGGAGAAATGGGTTTACCTGGCAAGGATGGTGTGCCAGGACAAAAGGGTGCAAGAGGAGCAAAGGGTGAAAAGGGAGATGCAAACAACGATGTGATGTTAGAAGGTAGGAAGAAGTGCTCTTAGAACCTGTCCTGCAACAGTGGGCTTGACAGAAAATCATCTATTCTGCTTCTGAAGCATGAGTGTGATCTGGAAGAGCAGGACCCATCTGCACAGCTATGTTATCTGCAGTGAAGTTTTTGAGTATTTCTACAGTTCAGATGTTACTGCTCTTCAGGAATAGTTTCAAAGGGCATGTGTAGCTCCAAAAATTAAAAGCTCTGCCCAAGAGGTTATGTTCTGTTTTTAATGCACGTCTTCACAAAAGCTTGGGCTTTGGGTTGAAGTGTACGTGAATTCCAGTCTTTCCAGTACACTTCCAGAAAGGTCTCCTGTTCTGTCTTGCCATGTAGTTTTATTTGTCTGTTAGAAAATGAGGGGCAGATTTCTGCTCAGCAATACGTGACGCTGCCACAAATACAAGCTATGTAAAATTATAGCTCTGTGGCCTCTGAAGTTGAGGTCTTAGGATACAGTAAGTAAAAGGCAGCAGTGATTTATAACTCTCATTTGCCTGGAATCCAGACAGATAAATTGCATTGATGTCCTGGAGCTCGTGGAGTTGTGTGTGGTTCACAGTCTAACAAACAGCATCCCAGTGAGTTTATTGCACCGTATTTCTGTACACGGAAACCTCTTAAGAAGAGAGGGGCTCTCCAAGTCTATCATGTGGACACGTGCGGTTCTCTACTGTTGCCCACAGGGCCTATGACTTTGTGCTCTATTTTGTACATAGGTGCAAAAGGTGAACCTGGACCGCCAGGGCCCCCTGGACCACCTGGACCCCCAGGGCCTCCAGGAAAACGTAAAGGTAAAAGCAAAGCACAGCTTCAGGAGAACATCTACTGCAGCAAATGCACAGGTTAGTTCTTGCCAGGGTTCTTTTTGGTATTATAAACAGGTTCAAGATTAAACTTGTGGCACCGGGTCTCACAAAATAGTAAGCACGTGTTTGATTTTGCTGGCATCAGTAAAACTGCACACAACTCAAAGCTGAGCCTGTCCTTAGCTTGCTGCCATACCCAGGTTCTATTTCAGCAAAATAACCTATCTCCAGTATCATATTAGTCCTTTAATCGTGCTATGCTGATGCTCAGGCATAGCATTTACACAGTGTTTTCTGTTAGATGGGGGTATGTGCCCATGTGTTCTCTTTAATGGGTGAAGCGCTGCCTCTGCTCCGTGGAGCACATACCAAAAAAGTTAGCATATACCCCTGGTGCTTGGATATCAGGGACTTCTTACTCATTTGGCTGTGGAAATCAGCAGCCGTGTTTTACAAGTATTTCTGGATGGATGTCTGAAGTTGCTGGACGTGAAAACTGTGGCCAAAAACGTTATCATACATTCCTGAAAACTCTCTAAAACTATCAGGTTTTGAGACTTGCATTTCAAATAATTCCTGCATACTTTCTCAGCCTTTTTTTTTATTCCCAGTGAAGGATTAGCAGTAAAAGATAAGAGGAGCTGGTGGAACATGGGTTCCACAAAGATTGTGGTATTGTGATAACAGGACAGTTTTGGTTCAAGCTATATTAGCTGATTATGGAAAGGAACATGGGTTCCACAAAGATTGTGGTATTGTGGTAACAGGACAGTTTTGCTTCAAGCTATATTAGCTGATTATGGAAAGCAAAGAGAAGTTGGTGCAAGAGCAGCATTGTATTTCTAGCTTGCTCCAGCTTGAGAATGGAAGCACATTTTGGTTTTGGATCTACATACTAGATCTGGCCATCCTTGTCCTTTAGCCCTGGATGGAGTTACATTTGAGATGGCTGCAGCTTTCAGTGACTGCTGCTATCCCTACGGTTTGGGGATGAGTTTTCTTCCCAGCTGAGATGCCTGTTTTCAGGGTGATCCTGTAACAGAACAGCAAAGGATGTCTCTGTTACTCATTTTCATATTTCTGTAAAAGATGAGAGTTATCTGTGACAGTATTTGGTAGAGTTTCTTTTGTAATTGGGAATGTTGCTTCTCAATAGGCATGCCAAAAGGAAAGAGCACAAGAAGTCTGTGCAGTTATGAAGTGGGAAACAAGCAGAGCAATTTGTGTGTCTCACCATTAATGGGGTGATGTGTTTTTATGTCGTCATCATTTCACACAGTTTGCTGAGATGAAAAAAATCTCATTTTTAAAAATAATTATAAATGCTGTTAGCCAGTTAATACTGGGTGGAACATATATCAGTTATTTCCATCTCTTGTTTTTAATATAGCGTGTAACTGTAGTAGCATGTAAGAACCTCAGTCAGGAGATGCTGGGTATTGAAGTTTCAGAGCCCGAAGAGCCTCCCTAAAGTGGAAAGTGGGTAGCTGGAGCAGAAGTCTCATCTTGTTTGAAATTCAGAACCACCTGAACTGTTGCACAAGGTGTAATTGCACCATTTACTCAGGTAGCCTCTTCTCAAGTGTCGAAACAGACTGAAGTGCTTTGGAGAATAAACTGTCTGATGGATTTCTGATGGAGTTTCAATCCCAGTGTGCAAACAGGAGTTAAATAACTCTGCAGAGAGGAGATCTTCCTCAATGAGCATTTATGTTTTATGAGCCAGTAGGCTGTGAGATCTTATTACCAGAATTCAAAGTTTAAAGCAGCTTTTGTAATTGAATATTCATATCCCTTTGAAGAAAAGAGAATACACATGCTGATTTATGACTTTAATTAACTTATTATATAAGAATACAAGAATGGCTTCCTTAAATTAAATTTTTAATCAGGTAGAACTTTATTTCTTTATCAGAAGAGGATAACTAGTGTGAACCTCAGGTGTATTTGTTCTCAAATTTGTTCTCTTTTTTTTTTTTTGATGGAAAGCAAGCAGTGAAAATTGCACATAAGTGATTGAAAACTGTCTTTTTAATCTTAGTTGTTTTCTGGTTCAGGCAGCTGAGAGTTCTCCAAGTGTGGAAAAATATTCTCAAATACAAATAGTGCACCCAGCTTCACTACAAACACTGACCTAGTCCTTGTCTATTCTATAGTCTCAGATAAACTGCTGTGTAGGGAACTGCTCAGTCAGTTAACTGTATCTAATAGACTCAGCCCAAGAAAATTGACTTGTGCACTGCAATTTATAACCCTGCTGAGGGGATTCCTTTTTTGAGATTATTTTGTGATCAGAAGCTGGAAAGGGATCTAGAGGGATTGCCAGCTTCTAGCTATCCTTATTTTGGATATAAGCTGTGATCACTTGCAAACCTTCAGTGTCATATCACCAAATGTCCTAGGTATGTGTTGTTCTTGCTCTGTCTTGGAGTAGTTTCCTTCTGCATGAACACAGAGAGGATATAACCTAAAGGAGAAAATGACAATGAGGTATAATCTGTCCTTCCTTTCCTGAATGTCATGCTACCCTTTCAGCATCTCTTTATAGTTATTTCATATTTTTTGCTGTCTTTCTCATATAAACTTCATCGCAGCCCTGTAAATCCCAGAAAGCAGCAACGAAAATGCACGTCCAAAAGAATTCGCAGCCCGCATGTCAAGTTGTCCTTACACAGGAAATGTTTAAGAAGATGAAAGTTAAGACCTGGAATTAGAAAACAAGGCTACAATGAACGTGGGGTATCTTCAGCAAAGAGCTGAGAACTGCTCTCTGTGGTTATCCATGCTATGAAAACTGAAATGTGTTGTGTTGTTTTAAAGGCAGAAGAGGTATCCAGGTTTATAGAAAGAGGTCCATAAATAACTTCATTCAGGCATTGTTTCCACAGTAAATGCTAAGAGGAAACCCAACCAGTTACTCTTTAAGTAGTTGAGGGGTGGGGTAAAATGTTTCCTGGTGTTTTCCAATGGTTTGTCGACCATTTCTGTGTGTCTAAGGAAGATAGTGTATAATTTCCCTTTGTCTTTCATATTGCTTCTTTAATGGCAAGGATGACATTCTTATGCATTATTAGCATACTTATTACTTTATTACTGCCTGAGGCATTAAGAGCATGAGCAAAAGTAGACTACAGACTACAGACTGCACCCGCTGTGCTGGTCTGTGTCAATTTGGGCATGAAGTTTTTGAGCTTGGCCATCACTCATTCCCAATAAAGCATTTCTGATATTACTGCTGAATCAGGCAGCTGCTAGCTAGCTCAGTTGTCTAAAGGTATCTAAGAAAAGGGCCAACCCTGTCTTTCTAAGCAGCTACTTAGAAGTTCACAGCTAAGGAATTAAATCTGTTGAGCAAAAATAGTTACTTCTCAAAGCTGACTGTCAGCCTGACAACTTTCAGGAAACAAACCAGCCCAAATGCTTCATTTCCTTGGCAGAAGCATGAGCAAATCATCTTTTTATCTCATTCTTTTTGACCAGACCAACCTGAGCATTTTTCTCAGATGAATGAAGATCCCAGTTGTCGCTCCTTTATTTTAGTGGAGTCACTGATGTGTACATCTGTCACATCTAATGTAGAAAAATGACATGTTTTACCCTTCTTCCCCTTTCAAATATAGGTGAGACATATGCTGTACCAAATGATGACACCCTGGCTGGAAAAGCTGAAGACAGAACCCCTGCTCCTGCAAAAAAAGCTGGTAACTGCTACAGAGCGTGACTAACTGCTGCTTACTGTTCTAATGCCACAGATAATGGACGTGTGCCTTTTCTTTACTAGAATGTGTCATAACATCTGTAGGAAGTCCTGTTCACTTCGTCAGCGTACAGCAAACGTTTGGAACTTGGATGCGGGAACCTGCAAATACAAGCGATGAGAGGATCTGGCTTACCATGCATTTTTCAGGTGCTGATCAAAAATCAGTTGTTATGCTGCCCTCGTTTTGTTAGGTCCTTCAACCTAAATTAATATTTCTAATCGAGTGTTATGGGTCTTCTTACCCACATCTGTTGCAGTTTAAGCTGGCAAACATCTGTATAATACTTGATTATACCTATGGTTATAGACGTTTTCGGAGTCAACATCAGATTTTGAAGTAGTTTGAGGATTTGAGTTTTTTAGTTCTTAATCTTAATAAAAAACTTAACTTTAGTCTTAATCAAAAGCTTAATTTTAAAATAATTTTAGGTTTTTTAATCTGAGTTTAAATACCAGTTGTTCATGCCTTTTTTATTCTTTTAATGATTTCCTATGGTTTTACATCCCTAAACTGTAGCTAGTTGTGCCTTTTCATTTAGCTAGGCATGAAAATGAATCAGATGTTGTATGAACCACATTTAGTGCAGGAAAATTTCCAGGACCTAAGTGAAAAAAGGAAATACTTTCTGTATTTTACCAACTGTGTTCAGAATTAGGGCCCAGCAGGTCAGTGGGACACAGGCCCTTGAGCACCTCTGTAGATTTTTTTATTTTGGGGTGTTCTGGATTATTTGACCCTGTTACAGCAAGCTGACTCACTACTGAAAACACAAATACAGTTGTCTGTCAGATGTTTGATACTGACTTTCAATAGAGATTGAATTTTAGGGCAAGGATTTCAAAATTAGATCAACCAAATGATAATCACTATAAGAAGGATGTTGAGATTCTGGAGCGTGTTCAGAGAAGAGCCACAAGGATGGGGAGGGCTCTGGAGAACAAGCCTGATGAGGAGCGGCTGAGGGAACTGGGCTTGTTTAGCCTGGAGAAGAGAAGGCTGAGGGGAGACCTCAGCACCACCTACAACTGCCTCAAGGGAGCTTGTAGAGAGGTGGGTGCTGGTCTCTTCTCCCAGGGGATGGGGGATAGAACAAGGGGAAACGGCACCAAGCTGTGCCAAGGGAGGTTCAGGTTAGAGATAAGGAGGAAGTTCTTTCCTGAGAGGGTCGTCAGAAGCTGGAACAGGCTGCCCAGGGCGGTGGTGGAGTCACCATCCCTGGATGTGTTTAAAGAGTGGGTAGACGAGGTACTTAAGGATATGGTTTAGGGGGTAGACAGGAGCGGTTGGACGTGATGATCTCAGAGAGCTTTTCCAACCGAGCGATTCTGTGATTCTGTGATAGTCTTTATTTTTTTTAATGTTTTCCCTTTCATTTAGGAAACTCTATAAAAGAATATGAGAATTCGAATGCCTTGCTGAATGACAGCTACAGGATCATTAACATCACAGGGTTCTTCTATGGATGTGGTCATGCAGTGCACAACAACCACCTGTACTATCAAAAGGGAGGAACCAACGTCATTCTGAAGTAAGTCTGATACAGTTGCCTGAGGCAAGGGATGTTGTGAAAGGAGGAGCAATGGGTAAAGAGTGATAGAGGTAAACCTCAGAGAAGCAGACAGCTTTCCTTGTGCCATTTTGTTTCTTTTTGGTCCATCTAGAATAGGAAGAATGGAGGAACGGTTCAGAATTCTTTCCCATCTCTAACTGGAACGTGGGCCAGTGGTTTTCCACCTGTGTATGCAGACGCTGTGGGAGAGGAACTGGGAGGGTAGCCCAGGTCCGTTATTCTGCTGGGACGGTCAGTTCTTTAAGCATTGCTCAGCTCTGTGTCCAAGTGCTTCACTTCAGTAGTTACGACATGATAGGACAACTGGGCTTCCAGATTAACAGGATGCCACGTGCAGAGGTGGCAACAGGTTGTTCTTTTGGCTACCCTGGGGTTCAGGGGGTTTCTCCTGTACGTTATATTGCTGTGGGTGTTCTTGCACTTGGATTCTTTGATGTGTTCATTATTGCAATGAACTAAGGAATTTGGAGGTCAGAGAAAAGTATTAGACTTCAAAAAATAAGCTGTGCATCTACCTATGTCAGAGTAAGAATTGGTTCAGCTGCAGTTCGGGTGGCACAGATGAGTGGTTCTATGACTGTAGCCCGCTTGTGGAACATGGCTGTCCAGAGCTGCTTGCTGGGTTGATGCACGGGCCTTGCTGTCGGGCAGCGCTGTTCTTAGCTGGCAGGGGTTGAGTTAATGCTGCTTGTGCAGAGGAATTAGGGCCAAGGCACCAGCTGAGGACATGGCGACCTGGTGAGTTGCACATTCCCTTGTGGAGGAGTGGCTCCACTGTTCGATATCCTCCCGATAAGAAGTACCTACAGCTCTCTCAGTGCTTCTCCCTGAATTGGAACTGGGAATTAACATCTCTATTTCTTTAGTTTCTACTAAGGACAGAGACAGACAATACAAATAAAACCCAAAAGCTCATCTTGTGGGAAGCGCCAAAGAAATACAGTCCAAGGGCAAGTGAAAGATTGCATCTGCTTTCAAGTTCTCTTACATGGCTGATGTTCGAGCCAAGAACATTACTATACTTTGATGTCTATTCCCAAGCAGGTGTGAGTGCCACGTTCCTATATTCATTTGGATGCCAAGGAATGCGAGCAAGCTGCTTGGATTCTATAATATTTATACTGCCAATGACGAGCCCACTTTTTGGCAACCTCCTTGAAATACCTTTGGGGCTTTTTGTTTCTACATCTGTTAAAGACCGTCTCTAAGCAATACACAGCGATAGGACAGAGGTTCCTCACCTTTGCTTGGGTACCGTTAGTTAGGAAATGCCTTCACGTACAGATGAGCACAAGGTATTTGTGGAATTTTCCTCTAAGAAGTTGCTGAGATTGCCTTTTTGTTCAGTTTTTCACTCCTAGATTATTTGCCTTCGGCACAGGTAGGATCAGGCACTCTGAATTTTGTGACAGTTAAATCCTTGATTGTTTTGGGCTGCAGAAAAGCTGGGAATTTTTCTGATTTAACAGAAAGAGCAGGTGAGGACCTGGTTGGTTCACTTCACAAATGTTAGAAAAAGTATTTCAAAGGAGCTTCCTGTGATATTTAAAAGCCTGTAAAAACTGGCTTTGTCTGACCTTCAGCAAGCTTCTTCATCACGATCGGATCCCTGACACAGATTGTTTCATCCTTTCTTCCTCTGTTTTGTAACATGCTTTCCCATCTCTGTTCATCTTAGCAATCAGAGAAGTGTTGGTAGCTTGAGTTCCTTGTGGTTGATGAAAATATTACACTGAGATCTTGTCATTTACCCCAAGGTGCCAGAAGATAAAGGGATTTCTGAGCTATTTGAAGTTTTAGACTGTCCTTGGCTGGGGGAGTGGAAGAGAAGCTCAGGAATGAAGCCTCGCTTCTTTGCTCCTTTCAGGATTTTCACATAAAAGAGGAAAGGACAGGGTGTTCTGTGCTGCAGATCTTGCAGGCTCTTTATAGCAAAAAGTCCTAAAGAAAACCTGCATTTCTCTGTGACTATTCCTGCTAAGGGCTGACCTAGCCGTTGCCCTTGCATGAGGTTATTTACAACCCTGAAACAACTAACAGGATTACCTGGGTTGACACACGTTTCTCAGAAATCTTCTGCAGCCTTAAGGCCTTTTTTTATTGCACGTACCTGCTGCTGGAATACGGAGTTGCTGCAGACATGACTTTTACAAAAGCTGAGGGGAATCATCCAGTTGTTCCTGACTTTTCTCAGGATGCTCTTTTCTGGTATATGCTATCAATGCCTCTTCCAATACTCTTCCAGTATTTTTTTCTCCTATTGTAAGTTCCTGGATCTGCAATGTTCCTGTCATTAAGCTGGCTTTTTCAGGAAATTTCTGTAACTGTAGCAGATTCCTGTATTGAGTTCTGCTTTTCCTCTGTTTGAGGAACAGAGCTATACAGTTAGATAGCAGTCAGACAATGAGAGGTGCTTCATTACAGGAAGCATTACTTAAAAGGATAAAGCGCGCTCTCTTGCCCTAAAGCACTGTGTTATTCACTGATTAAATGCTAACTGCAAATATGCCTTGATAGTAGCTGTTCACCCTCTTAAACTAGCGGAGGAACTCAATTTAGCTGCTCAATGCCCCTGTCCTCAGATTATCGCCCTATTAAGGAATTTCAAGGAATAAAAACTGTTTTATACATCGGAGATGAGACACTCAGGCTGTCTAATTGGAGGCCAGCATGAGGGCAGAATTTTGGCTCTGCAAAAGTAGCATTTTGATTCCTTTGATGTTTACTTGAGCAAATCACTGCATTATCTGAACTGCTTTGAAAAAAGGAACTCTAAGACTCGGTGAACCTGCCCAGAACTCATGCTGGTTTGGTCAATCTCATTTTCTCCCTTTAGTTCCCACCTAGTATAAAGCGAACTGCTGTACAGATTTAATTCCACAAGTTCAGGCCTTCACCTGGTATCTCATTCTTTTTCAGACCCATTCCATTTAGTTGCTTCTTTCATCCTAGCGATAATAAAGCTCATAGACTAAATAAAGTGCAACCCACCAGAGCGAGATCATGCTCTTGTGTATCTTGTAGATTGCTTATTACTTTGGAATTTTCTCCTAGTTTTTGGAAGGTGCTTTGAGTGGAGCACTTCATCTTAAAAGACATCAGAATGGTGCTTGAACTCAAGTATTTTCAACGGTGCTTCTATCAGTACTAATGCACTCTGAATTGATTCAGCCAACCTGTGTGTATAAAAATGAGTTTTTAACACAACGTCCTTTACCTCATTTCAGACTTGGGCTCGATAGAGCATCGTTGGGCACATTACTAATTGAAAATGCCTTGTATCACGGTCGTAACTACCTCTTTTCGAACGCGAAGACGTATTTCAACGTAGCAGTGGATGAGAAGGGTCTTTGGATTATTTATGCCTCAAGCACTGACGAAAATATCATAGTGGCACATATTGATGAAGAAACTTTTTCAGTTATTCGGCGTATCAATACTACATACCCCAAGTCCAAGGCTGGTAATGCATTCATAGCATGTGGCATTATGTATGTTACTGATACGAAGGATATGACAATAAGTTTTGCTTTTGATCTATTGAGAGAGCAGCAGATTGATGCAAGGTTTGAGTTGCGGTCTTCACAGTCTGTCCTTGCTATGCTTTCATACAGTCTGAGAGATAAGAATCTGTATACGTGGGAGAATGGGAGCTTAATGGTATACCCAGTGCATTTTGGGAGATGAATGTATTTTAAAATGTCAGGTACCGGAGCCACGTTTGACTGAATAGATTATTTAAAGCTATGTGATATACACAGGGGTGTCTTCACTTTGTGTGATTTTCTGTTCACTGCTGGTTTGTGAATGTGCATAAAAGGAGATCGGGCACCTTTCTATAAACACTTGAATTCTGTAGGCCGTTCTCCTATCTTTAAAAGAAGAGCTGCTCAGTATCGCAGCTGGCACACAGCGCAGACTTGCTTTTGTTTTTCCCATTGTTCAGCCAATAATTATATCTCATCTGATGGACACTGACTATTCAGTGGTCATGTGCTCAGCAGAGACTATTTATAACGTGCAGTTGCAGCCATCATATCTGCCATAATTCTCTAGTTAGTGATTGTGGACTAGTGTAAATGTCTAAAAAACAAACTTTTGTGTACAAATACCATCGTCCAAAATCCAGGACCAAAATCCAGCCCACGTACAAGGAAAATGGGAATAATGGCATTATTATATACTGAATATATATGAGATTGTGTTTAGTAAATTAAGTGTGGGAAAAAAAAAAGTAATGAGGTATAAAACTGAAGAGAAGGTGTAAATTTTATGATTAAAATTCTCTTTTTAACAGTGTTTGAGTTGCTTGTGTTGCTGCAGACTCTTCCTTGTCCCTTGCTGCTGTGTAAACTATACCACTATAACGTGCTCATAACTATACTTAACTACAGTAAGGTATATATCTAAAAAACCATTTTCCCCATGTCCGTCCGTGCAAATGAAATCATAAAATGAAGGGTATAGTTTTTTTGCTGCTAATCTTAGAAAAATAAAATATCTGGAGCAGAAGTGCATGTATTCATCACAGTGCTTAGTGACTTAATTTGTTGTACAACTTCATTCAGAGATTGCTTACTCACATTCGTATTTTCGAGAGCTAGAGGAACTTTTTGAGTTCAATTTTGTTCTGGTATTTCAGGTTGCTAAATTTAACACTGAAACATAAATCCCTGCCTTTGCTTTGTGTATCTATATTCAAAACCACGCGTTCAGAGAACCCCTACCTGCATTTCAAAGCTGCCTGTCTATATTGGTAAAGTTCACAGAGCTCATTCAAATATTTAGAAGCAAAGTATCACTTAAACCCTGAACTGCACTGAGCTTGTTTAATACCTACATGACATCCAGGCACCATCAGAGGGATTAATGACTTAGGGAACGTCCACGCCTGCAGAACCTTGTGTAGCAAATGTGCTGGAGAAATACCTCTGCTGCAGCTAAGCTTCGGTGGGTGCTGCAAGGGTGGCACCCTCCCTTCTCAAGGTACTTGCTGGTTTCACTAAGGCCTGGCACGCTAAGGATGGAGATGCAGAGGGAAACACAAAAGTGTAATTACTACTTTGAGCTAGTATACACATCGAAACTCATGTTTTTTCCCAACGTTTTTGTTGTTGTTTTGTATTTTATTGTTTAAATACCAGGCTGTATTTCTTGTTACTGCCTTTGTTGGAGATGAAGAAGTAAATTCTGTTAACTTTATGCTTTTCTAGGACAGCTGAAAATGAAATGCAAACAGCTAATCCTTTTTATCTCGGTACAGTCTGAGGTCAAGCTAAAGCTGCCTCAGGCAGTATCCATTCAACCTACTGCAGGTTTAGTTAAATCTTTCTGGATATAAGGAAGAGTTCTGGAATGGACTGTTCCATGAAATAAAAGTAATTTATTTAACTTACAAAGGGAAAACCAAACAATGACATTTACTCTTCTTTCTTCTCACGCTCCTTGTACTTCGCAGCCTGCAATTTAAAATCACCTTTGGAGAAAGGCGTCTTTTATTTCATTATATTTTACAATACGGCACAGACATCAAAATCTTCATTGGAGGAATAAGACAGTTTGTTAACATTTAAATACGCAGACATCCATTCCAGTCTCTTAAGAATGTGGTTTTTGTTTACAACAGAAAAATACATCTGACAACAGTAGCTAGTTATATTACAAGCAAACAATATTGAACTCTGCATAGTTTATACAAGATACTGTGGTAATAATTTAATTACCAGTTTTATCCACTATTTACTAGCTGGCCACATAAAGCCTGACATTCATCTGAAATGTGGCATTATATGTTCCATTGGTGTTCTCTTAACAGCTTCATTTAATGAAGTATTTTCTGGACAAGTGAATTTCAAAACTAAAAGCTGACTAGATTCGTGGATGTCTTCACTACAAACATTTAGTGCATACAATACATTCCTAAAGTAAAGGCAGGTGTCCAATAGAAAACAAAGCTCTCAGAAAGAAAGGAAAATACTGTGCAAATTAAAACCCACCACATTTAAAAATGTGTTGATGTGCAAGTTACAGTATCAACTGTGTATCAATACTTACTGGGGGGGGGGAATATCTCAGCATAAAATGATCCGTGTCTCACGGGACGTTCTTGATTGCACATGTTCCACGGCATTTGCATCCATTACACTTTCTTGTGAAAATCAAATATACCCCTGATTGAAACTAAACTATCTTACAATGAAAAGTTGTACACATGCTTCGGTTAGTGGGGAAAAACTGGAATAAAAATAAACCAGAATCTCATCAGAAATGCTTACTGCCTTGCAGAGCCACAGTGCTTGTTAAGTGACTGACAGCTGTCAGAATCTTCACAATACACTCACTAAATGCAGCTTGTGAGCTCGTGGGTCACTGAGCAAAAACCCCATCTCTGACTGACTGTACTGGCTTTGATTCTTTGCTTTTACAATACAGTGCATGCATTTCCACCCCCGTGATCTGTATGGGCACATTCAAAATATACCTGTTGTAGAAGTAATTTTTTGTTTAAAATCTTTTTCCCCATAATACTTAATGCTGCAGTAACTGCTTTGAAAGGAAACGACGTTTCCTTTCCACAGTGCATATAGCTGTGATTTTAGCTACTTAAAGGGGCATGATATAAAACCAGAATCAGCTCACATAACGCTACAGAATGTCAAAAATGCCTGAAGGTACATTGAAAGCATTGGGAAGAACCCTCATTTTCAGCGTGCCATCTGCTCCACAGGAGAAGATACGATTGCCTTGCACGGTTTCGATCTGGGTGACACCGGCACCAATATTTCTGAAAATGGACTGCTTAGCGTGTTCGTTTTTAAATGAATGAATTAAATTATAGCCCGTCAGTCTCCACACCTGTATCGAAAGACAGACAAATGACAAAAGATTAAAATTAGCATTTGTACTTTCCCCCCCTAATATTTCAGATTTCTGACTGTTCAAAACTCCGTTCAGCAAAGATAAAGGGTCTTTTTTGTTGTCTATTAGCAACACTGACAACAAGTCCAAGAGTCTGAAGAAGCTCTGATGAAGCATAAGCCCTATGTGAATGCAGAGCAGCTGGTTTCTCGGCAGGCTGAAGCTGCCCTGTGTTACCTGATCAGTAGTGTCCCAGCCAGCTTCTCCTCCCTTGAAAGCTGCAGACATGGACAGGTTGCATGTTTATCCAAGGACATGCTTTTCTGCTCGGTAAGCTGTATTGTTAATAAGCATGCAGTGGTAGCATGACTGGCTGAGCTGTTCTAAGTCACGAAGTAAGCAGAGGCGCCTGTTAAACAGTATGCAGTCCAGCTAAGAGGAGAGAAACTATTTCTCCTTCTCTTTACCATGGTCTTGTATTTCCTTCCTTTAGTATTCAGGAAATAAGCTCTTTAAAACAGGGACTGTATTTCCTGTGGCTGTATTTTCTTTCTTTCTTTTTGTTGTTTGTTTCTTACTACTGTGGCATCTCAGTAGCTGTCTGGGGCTACAGCACCAAGAGGAAAAAGCAGAACTTGGTGTTACAGAAACTTTACGCGGTGCTGAAGTTATTGAGCGCCCCCTGCACTGCAAAGAGAAACAGCCAAAGCAAAACCAGAACATTGTTAAGAGAAAAATAAAGCTCAGATTTCCGAATCATGCATTTTGCTTTATCCACTTAAAATTCAATCGCAGAACTTTAAAAAGGCTGTTTAATCTTTAGTGGGGAGCAAAACCTTCTTGCCTTAGAAGGGTATTTGCATTATAAACTTCTGGCAACCATCCTCTGTATCAAATGTCGGTTTGAGGTTTTGGGGTTTGGTTTTGTGTTTGGCTATTTGCAGCATGCTGATCGACGTATTTCAATACACTACTTCAGCTCAATGCTCTCCCACCCAACTCAGCTTCTCCGACACCTTACCTTCATGTTACCTTCTGCTGAGCCTGTAACAAAATAGTCCTCGGAAGGATCCAGGGCAAGGGCCTTGACAGCGGATTCGTGTGCTTGGAAGGTGTAAAGGATTTGCCTCTGTCTGATGTCAAAGATGCAGATATATCCCTTTCTACCTCCAGAAATTAGCAGTTGATGTTTAGGTGCATACTGAAGTACTGTGGCACCGTGATCGTGACAAGTGAAGGCTGAAGAAGGAGGATGTCAGAATTTAATAATTTGAAACCGTAAGTAGCTTTCAATCTTCAAATGCATTTCTTCTATAGATTGTTATCTGAATATTTTCTAACTTGGCAGATACATTCCTTCATATGGGCAGTGTCAGATCAGCTGACAGAGTTTGTTCTCGTAAGAGCTGTATCGATCTAATGCACAAGAAAGCATGATGTGCAGTCTAATTTATTTTAGAAAATGGATACATACCTACATTTCACAAATTGAGATAATGTAAAATTCACCAAATTCAATTAAATTCCTGAGCTCAATTAAATTTCTGAGCTAAGAAAACAGGATAGCTGAGCTAAAAATGTTAAATATTAATTACCTTATAGATATGTATTACTATATTCTAATTTCATCACCTATTTTTCATAGGAGCCCTGACACAATTCTTTAAAATGAGGCTGAACTGTGTAATCTGCTCATTTTAAGATATGAATCTCAGCATGCACCTATTGCTTATTCTAGTACTAAAGTTATTTGCAGATGTTTATGATGGTTGAAATTTTTAAAAACTCTTTTTAAAAGCTCTTTTAAAAACCCAGGATATGATATTTGGATTTGCGTGCATT